GTACTATAGCAAAAAAGTGTCGGAAAAAAGACTTGTTACACATTTTTCAGTCTAGTTCCGTTCCGCTCAGTGTAACGCGCGATAAGGAACTTCGTTCCATAATAAAATAAAAATTGTGAAACCAACGTCAATATTACGTATTTATGATTATGGTTAGTGTTTCTTTGTGGAGTTTAGACAGGTTTGCGTTTGTCAGCATTAGTACCCACTGTTCAGGCCATTCCACTCGTCGTAAACCTAATGCAAAATGTGTGTTCGGCCTTAATGATACAAGGATTTGCCATTTTGGTTTTAAGTTTTGCTAAGTTTTGGCGCTCTAAGTGAAAGTGAAGTGATTAATTTGATCAGTGGTCTTTATAAATTAAATACATTATAAATAAAATATATAAATAAATATCCTTGATATCGCTATCGAATCGAACCGAATCGAATGCCAAATTAACTTTTAGTGTTGAATTAAAACACCCTTTGTCCGAAGTTGGTTCTACCGATACCGATAAACTGTTAGCCAAAAACACCCTTCGTCCTTCATCCATGGTCGCTTTGAGAATCATCAACAGCCTATCGCAGTCAACTGCTCGACATAAGCCTCTCCCATTGCACGCCACTTAGATCGTTTTTGGACTTCTCGCTTCCAGCTCCTGCCAGCCATCTTGCGTAAATCGTCACTCCACCTGGCCTGTGGGCATCCTACACTACGTTTGCCGAGACGCGGTCTTCACTCAAGAACTCGTTTTCCCCAACGGTTGTCAGTTCTGCGGCTAATATGGTCAGCCCATTGCCACTTCAGCTTGCTGATCCCGTAGGCTATGGCGGTTACCTTGGTTCTCTGCCGGATCACCTCATTCCTGATGCGATCCCTTAGAGAAACGCTGAGCATTGCCCTTTCCATAGCACGTTGAGCGTCTTTGAACTTATGGACCGTCCCGCAAGTGTCCATGTTTCGGCCCTATGACGGGTGGGATGCACTTATTGAAGACTTTCGTCTTAAGGCACTGTGGGATCAACGATCAGAAGACTCGACGTAGCTTCCCAAACGCTGCCGAACCCAACTGAATTTTTCTCTTCACCTCGTCCTCGAAGTTGTTACTACCTAATTGCATGGTCTGCCCGAGGTACACATAATTTTGAACAACTTCGAGAACGGCACCGTGTACCGCAATAGGTGCCGGTAGTACATGTCCGTTGAAAATAACCTTGGTTTTATCCAAGTTCATCCGTAGGCCAACGCGTAGAGAAGAGTCAGCTAGGTCATTCAGCATCTGCTGTAGGTCCTGCTGCGTCTCTGCCATGATGATGATGTCGTCTGCAAATAGCAAGTGAGGATCGCTTTGAGGATGTCATAGTCGAACCAACAACGCTTGTTTCATTCAAGGGATCATTGAGGAATGGTATTATTCGGGAACAGTACATCGTATTGGTTTGGGTGTAATTTATCTATAATATTGATGTATTTAAAAATATATAAGTATGTTTATGGGCAGTCTGGTTACCATATTACAGGGTGGGATCTGCCTAGTTTGGGATCAGACTGCCGTGTTTGAGATGTGTGAAGATTCATAATAATAGGTTTTTAGGATTTAGGTAATCCTAAAAACCTATTATTATGAATTGGAGGATAAAAAAAACATAATTTTCAGATTTAATTGTCTGTGGATTCAGAGTAAATTCTGTTCAAAAGCCATGCCAAATGCCAATTTAATAAAAACTTAGTTATTTGTTTTAGATAGTGTTTTGTTTTTTTTAGATAGTTTATGGCGCCATGAATAAACTGAAAATTCGTACAATTTTACAATTTTCGAATTTGAGTTTCTACGTAAAAACATTATCGACGTGTGCGGGCCTGATACTGTTTGCATAAGCACGGTCCATTATTGGTTCACTCGTCTAAGATCTGGAAATGTTAAATTGAAGGAGCCTTGCGGTCAGCCGAAAACTATAGTCGACAACGACGAATTGAAAGCAATAGTGGAAGCGCATCCAACTCAATCTACGGCTTTGCTTGCTTGCTAGCTTTGGAGTTAGTGTCAAAACACGTTGCGTCAAATCGGAAGGATAAAAAAGCTTGATAAGTGGGTCCCGGGTACAGTACCCAATCAGTGCGCTAAAAAGAGATTACCCTGTCGACCGACCAGACAATCACCATCATCTTCAGCTTTCACTTTAATGTTTGTCTGTACCTTACGTTTTTATTCAAGTAAATATAAATACATTTACTTAACAATTACCTACGTAAAGAGTTGGTACTGTTTCTGGTTATCTATTTATATAAAGTAAATAATTAAGTCGTGTATATAGACACTTAAATAGGCCTACGTTCAACTAGTACGGAATTTTGAGCTAAGACCAAAACTGTACTGAAATAACAATATTAAGATACGATCGAACAATATTTAACGCCATCATCCCATACTGAATCGAGTTTATTTGATATGTATACGAGTATAATGTGATCAAATCAAATCATACCAAAACCCGTCAGACCCGATTCTCACTTGATATTATTTCATAAATCATACATCACATTTAGGTGCCTTTATCGCCTTTTGTTTCTCTCTGTAGCGAGCCCGATTCTCGGTGAACTTAATTTTTATCTGTGATTTGCAAATAATAAAATTGTGTAATCTGTTTTCTATAAAAGCTTTTATTTTTTAGTATGTTTTTGCTGTTATAAGCGTTTTTTCATTAGATTGTACTGTGGCGTTCTTGTGAAAAAGATTCGTATAAAGTTATGAATAATGAAGCGATGAAGGTATTTGAAAGGAAACCTACCTATTTACATATTGAAAGTAAATTATCACTGTTGAATACTCAATAAAATTCGGTATGATAACGATCACAAATAAATTTACTTAATTTTTATTTAATTTAGTCAGAGAGGTCATTGTAAGTAGAGTCAGCTGGTGAATAATAAGAATGTAAGTAATTGAAGTTTGGGGTTAAAGTGATGTTTTAACCTCTAACCTGCAACTTACCTAACTCTAACAGCCATTAAATGTAAAGGTCACTTTGAACTTTAATTAATCGAGACAGAAGAGATTACAATAATGTTTTACTACAGTGGTTATAGAAAAGCTCTAACAAAAAACATACTTCAGCAGTACAAACTGCTGTCACAAACTCTGTAGATATTTCTTTGTTTAACCGAAAGCTCATTAATGATCTTCTCTTGAGATGCTAGAATAATTACATAGAAAATGTGGGCACCATAATGCTAAACGACGAACTCTTACAGGCAGAGTTGGCCATCAAACTAATTAAAATTTAATACTATGCCGATAAATTGAAAGATTTATTTAAATTAAACTTTAATCTACATTACGTTTCATTTATTTAGATTAAACGTTATCAATTGCGCAATAAATTAAGTACAATTTGTTGTAACTATTAATAGAAAACATTTAAAATAAGGAATTAATCGGTCTCATGCCTGTATTGTACGATGAAAAATATAGTTATATACATACGAGCATTTGCCTGTGGCTCCGGCCGCGTGTGTGTTGGTTATCGCGTCCTATGTCCTTCCTCAAGAATCAAACTATCTCCATACCAAATTTTATCGAATTCGGTTTAGCGGTTATTGATTCCCCATTGTCCGTGTGGTGACGGATTAAGAATACAGAGTGTCACCACCCCTATTTATCCCGTGGGTGTCGTAAGAACAACAGCACCGCAGAGAGAAGGAAAACTTGACACACACCCTATACCAACCCGTCTGGCCAGCATGGTATAGTAGGCCAAAACCTCTTTTCTTAAGAGAGGCCTATGTCCTGCAGACTAGTAAAGGCTGTTGATGATGATGATTCCCCATACAAATTTCCACACCCCTCCCTTTTCACCCCCTTAAAGGATGATTGCTGGGATAAAAACTATCCTTTGTCCTTTTCCGCAACAAATTTTATCTAAATATTTCAGCGGTTAAAGCGTGAAGAGGTAACAGACAGACGGACAGACACACTTTTGCATTTAAAATATTAGTATGAATTATTATGGATAGGATAGTGTAAACATATAGATGGCACACATACGTAGATATACCTTGTATGTTAATCAATATAAGAAATATTGTATTTTTTTCCTATTTTCTAATAAACCATTAATTATAATGGCGATAATCACGATTAACATAAGTGCGTGAGTTGAGTTGAGTTGAGTTTTGAGTTGAGTTTTTGCCCATACAAACCTGTGCAGGTAGTTCCTCTGCAAATAATTTAATCAAGTTATATAACTATTTCACGGGTATTTCCTTTGGAAGTTCCCGGGGGAAATTGAGGAACACTTGCCTAGGATTGATGTTGATTTGAAAACCTCTGAAGTAAAACCAGTGCTTTTTCGCGTATCATTTTTTTCATATTTTTTAACTTATTGCGCAGTGTTTAAGGTAAATAACACCGTACATTATTGTAAAATGTTTTCAATTTTAAGGGTATGTTTAGTGCGCTTTATTAAATATTAAATTGTTCCTAATATTTAGCCGTATTATGATTTTATTAAATATTATTATTATGCTGTAAAAAGCAAAACACGTCCAGTATTGTTCGTTTTCAACATTTACTTTTGTGGGGCTATTAGTTAAACCGTGTTTTCATTTCAATTAACCTGAGTGTTTAACATAAAAAACTGTACCATAATATTTACGAGGACGATTTATTGATAAATTTGTTCTCAAAGGCCTAACTGAAGCAAAATTAATAACACAAATCTGTATAAAAATTCTATGGTCCAAAAAGTGTGTCCTCTACGTCCAGACACATTTCTTATCTAGATAAAAGTAATATATATAATCTTCTCGTTACAAATAATCTTCTCGAATCCGTGTTGGATGTTTTCCCTCGAGAAAATGAATAGTACATTTTTACCTGAACCCTATCCTAAAAAGTCCTGTTTTGACATTATTTATTGATACTTCTGCTTGAATTATGTTAGTGTGACAGCCTTTGAAAGTACTAGGGACAATGTGACTCGGGACGAATGATTTATGATCCTTTATTATTCCACAGGTCTGCTATCGACAACGTTAAAAAAGCTAAAGTTGCCATCAAGAAAATATCGCCGTTCGAACACCAGACCTACTGCCAGCGGACTCTACGAGAAATCAAAATCTTAACACGGTTTAAGCATGAAAATGTACGTTTATTTTATTTACTACTTTTTACGTCTGATAAGGTAATAAATAAATTTTAATATTAGTATTTATTTTCCAGATAATTGACATTCGAGATATTTTAAGAGCCGAAACGATTGATCAAATGAAAGATGTTTACATCGTACAATGTTTAATGGAAACTGACCTTTACAAATTGCTAAAAACACAGGTAATTTAACTTTTAAGTTATAATTGTTTATTGAAATAACGGAATCCGAACGGTTGGCTTGTAATACAATACATTTTATATTTAAATTTTAACTGTTGTACTTTGAAGGTCCGATTCGTTACTCTTGGAATTAAATTTTGTTTCAGAAATTAAGTAACGATCACATCTGTTACTTCCTTTATCAAATTCTGCGAGGACTGAAGTACATCCACTCAGCGAATGTACTCCACAGGGACCTGAAGCCGTCAAACTTACTACTCAACACTACGTGTGATTTAAAGGTATGACAAAAATTTGTTCGAATGTTCGAAAGAACGATACGAGCAGTTTTCTCGAACATTATGTACAGTGATGTCTCAATGTGTTTATCTGAATATTAGACAAACGAACCATTGTGTGAGATAAACTGGGTATGCAGGTATTCCGAGGCTTATTTGTGAGGCTTATTAAAGTGAAAGTAAAAAATTCATATGTCTCGTCTGGAACTTCGAAAAATCTTATTAAACGAAGCCTTGGCACATTTTTTTTGTACTCATATGTTATATCTTTGACTTATTTTTTATATGTCATTTTCATAACAAAATCTCTGGTAGTAAGCCAAATAGATGGATATGTATGTTTTTGAAATATATTTTTTTGAGTTATAGTTTACCGGCAAGCCCGCAGCCTACATAAACACTATATTTAACCTCAGCATTCATCACATAACCATTATATGTATGTCTGTTAAATAAACAGTTATGTCTATTAGGTGGCCAATGACGCTAGAACATTAGACTGCAAAAAGTGGGTTCGATTATCGATTAATACAAATATTTGTATTCATAAATATGTCACACACAATCCACACAATAAATATAGAACTTTCGTTCAGTATTAAACATACACTTGTTTGAAAGAGTTCTATTTATAACAGTCTGCGTCTAAAGCATATTATTTATATTTGTTTCGGAAAGAAATATGCTCAAACTACGAGTACTAAGTATTTCAACAATATCTAACTCATCAAAGGTAACAAAAGAAAAACAAGAAAATATGTTACAAATGTAGAGAATCCTTTTGTACTCATACTTCTTGAATAAATTACAGTAGTGAGACTTCTCTGCTTTTAATAGAATTTGTTATTTTGTTAATAAAACAACAATTAAGAACTTCATCCAAAGTTGATATCGTATAGCTGTATATATGGGCAAATAAAACATTATAAACATAAACTTTTCTTATAACAAGCCAATGTGTACACATGCGTGAAATCCAGAATAATAATGAAAATGCAGAAATAAACCTAATAAGTCTTAGATTGTACATTCCAACGGCACCGCATACAGTTATAACAAAGCCACATCTTGTGTGTGTACCATACCACATTGTCATTTATACGTTCACTCAAACGGTATTGCAAAACCACATTTTAGCCACCATATTGTGGTCAATATACATGACTACAGCTGTAAACAGACTGTGTAACTCACAGTTCATGTAACATGTTCTTCTAACATGTAACCTGCACTGTGTAAACTTTAATTAAAAATATCCCTCCAAACCTGGAAAATGAAACTTTAGTCTTTCTTATTAATTGAACGATTTGAAGTTATCAAATTTTAACAAAAAAACTTCAAAGTATCTAGTTTTATTTTTCATACGTTGGTAACAAAAATAGATGACATTAAGGTTAGTAGTTGTACGATTGGGGCTTTTGGCCAATCTCATTTTCTAAAACCCACTTTCAAGTGCTATTAAGGCTGCCCATTGTCCCCTTGAATGTTAACCGCTGTGTCGTCCTTGGAAATCGTGAGCAGACCCTTAACACAAAAACCACATGTATGTAAAATCCGTACAACTTAGAATTCCCCGTTTTTACTGCTAGTTCAAATATTATTTAAGCGTGCGGTTTAGCTCGGGTTAACGTAGATTTTGTTAATTAATTAAGGAATTGCTCAGAAGCGGTACCATCTTTCATCTTTTTTCCATTACATCATAATTCATTTACTAGTTGACTCGTCAAATGGAAAGTAAAACGTACAAACTCACAATAACGTTTAGAGTATTAGCTAAGATAATTTTTTACACAGTGAATTAGTCATCGGATTCTTATTATTTAAATTGCCTGACGACGTCGTAATGTTCCTTTAAGTTAGGGAGAAATGTGATAGCGTTTGATGGCATTTTCATTAATCATCATCATCAACAGCCTTTCATAGTCCACTGCTGGACATAGGCCTCTCCTTAGAAAGGAGGTTTTGGCCTACTGGCATTTTCATTAAACAATTACTATTACGATTCTAAAGTTTGTAGGTATTTGTTTTCCCCTTTTCGGTACAAACTGATTTTAATCAATGTATGAGTCTTTCCATCTTTTTGGAATGCTATAAACAGACTTAAGACCAAATATTAAATAACAAATTTATCGTAGTTTTCACCGCAAGAGAAGTTTGTGGAATGGTATTGGCGGATGGTTGCTTTTCTGCTGTTTGATAAGGCCTGAACCAGTGTTGGGATAGGGTTGATATGCACGATTTCCAATACAATTGGTTATGAGTTGACATTAAATTATTTTGTTTTACCACCAAAGTCGTTACTAACTCCCATAAAGCTCTTTTTTGACCTTTGGTCACCTAAACTCCCCACGTTAATCATTGCACCGGTACACATTACACACAATCAACGTTGTCCTCCTTACGTGGAAGCCTAGCTAGAATGGAACCTATGTAATTGTAGCTTGTTATAGTAAAAACTGTTTTTTGCATTTTATTCGATATTTAAATCGATCGATACTGCAGACAGACATGTTTCAAACGCTCATGTTTCATTCTTTCAAATAAATAAAATAAATAAATAAAAAAAATAAACTTTTATTTTCTTTCTTTCTTTTTTCTCTCTTTTTTCATATAAAATATCAGTTTATGTCTATGATGTTGTTATTTAGTGGACCTACATTTATTTATTTGATTTACGTACTGCGTCAACGCCATAAATGAAATTAACTACTTAAGAAGGCACTATACTTTCAATGGGGGGTCCCTTCTGCTAACCAAGCCGTTCCTGGAATCTAATTAGGGTCAGTATTTCACAGCGATGTTGATATACATATACATAAATGTTATGACTAATACGGAAAAGCGGTTGTGGAATAGAATATTCGCAAGTTGCTTAACATTAAAAGTAGTCCGGGTTTTTAGGCTTACTTAATTGTGTATTTCGAGGATTTGGTGCAATGAGAACCCTATGTTGAGGAGGAACCGTCCAGCTACAACCACAACTTTATCGGACGTTGTCAAACAAAGTTAGCCTACATTTTACAGCGCAGTAATTATTTAAGCAACTGTTAAAGTTATTACAGTCACATTTATCGAAATGGTATAACTATGTAACAATGTCCTTAATGGCTGTCTCGCAAAACAATAGACTGCTTTCCGGAGAAATCCGATTGCTTCCTAATTATTCTTTCAGCCAAGCACAGGAAAAATAAATCCAAAATAAAAAATTAGGTCATCGACACTTGAGGGAAACAATCCCAAATTAAATCCCAACACCAATCTAAAAGTAGCACTTTTCTATTTTAGTTTATTAAATTTTCCAATCTATATTTATAGTAACAACAAATTTTGTTAATCTTTCCAACTCTTTTCTTCCCCTATACAATATACCTACAATAAAAAATTGCCAAATAACATTAAAACGAGGTACTTATTGTATAAAACAAGTAGGCGAGCAAAAGCGAGTCTAATAATTTCCTTAATTGACTTATGTTTAAATGATTATTTTATTGTTTGCTAACAGATTTGTGACTTTGGACTGGCGCGAGTTGCAGATCCTGACCATGACCACACAGGATTCCTCACGGAGTATGTCGCCACGCGCTGGTACCGAGCGCCTGAGATTATGCTCAATTCAAAGGTTTGTTTAATAATATTATACCATCATCAATATTTATAACGTGTTTTTTCATTGAACTGCTTATCTCTTAATTACACCAAAGTTATGTTTATGGCAAATACTGACGAAATTGTTTTTTTTTTTAAGTAAATTTCGTTGATATTCAGAACTTTGAACTACGAAGGTATTTCCTGAAATACTTTAGATCAATCTTGTAATGTATATACATTTGATTTGCTTATGTAGTTTATAATATTATATGAAATATATTGTAGAAAAGTGTTTATAGCGTATCTTGCTTATTCTTCGCCATAGGAACTACACAGTGGAACATTCCCCTTTTATTTATGGGTGGAAACCCTCTTGAGCCGTCACCCTACCAGGGTTTGCGGCGGGGTGGTGTGTCGGAATCGAACCTACTAAAACTCCACGGTGTGCCACTCTGCGCCTGAAATGGGAGGGATCTGGGCACTGCTGCTATTAAGACATCCGGACTTCTTAGTGGAACAGCCACCTAGCTCTGCGACTAACTTAGACGAATCCTACTTCTGACGATTTAAAATTACCTAAAATTGGTTTAATTGAAATAACTTCTGACGATTTAAAATTATCTAAAATTGGTTTAATTGAAATAAATGATTCTAGTTCGATAGTTATTGATCTCTACTTTCTTACTTATGAATCGTATTAGCAAAACATGAGCTTTAGCAAAGCTGCAAAATACATATCGTTCATTAAAATAATATTTCAATTCATTTCTTTCACTTCATAGTAATACTAAATGTGCCAACAAAATGTTTCAATGTCATATACATGCAAATTTTAATGGAAGCCTGCTCGGCACGGATAAAGCTGCCTTTTAACAGCCGTCACTCTCATCACTCACTTAGTAATACGTATATATCTACATGTATCGGTTGACACAGCACATGTCGGCCTCAACATAAACCACATCAACCTCCCTAAAGCTTTTTCCCGTCAATATACTTTTACAGCTATGCAAACATCGTGTTTTCGACACGAACGGAAATTAACGAGGTTTGTATGTAGCTACACACGCACAGATACTATAGTTATAAACATAAGTTTCACAGGATAGTACTATGACGAAATAATTTATGCCATGTTTGTTAAGATGCATATTCAGTACTAATTCTGTTTTGCATACGAATGTCCAATAATGGCTTATTGAATATTCGGGCACAGTAGAATAAATATTTCATATAAATTCGTGTAACTTCACTCATGATAATCATATCAAACATATCAATGTTTGTTCACGCCAATTGACTACTGGGAGAGAAAGTGAAAATAAGATGGAATCAAACCGAATAGTCCCGCTAATAAAAGCAAAATTTCCTGGAGCAAAATTTTTAGAACAAGTAATTTTTTTTTACATCCTTCAAATGCAAATTCTTTTCACAATAAACAGCAGTCACTTATACATATGATAGTTCGGTCTTAGCACTTAATATTAGTTTTGGGGAGGAGTAACTTCTAACTAATGGCTTAATTTTGCAGCACTTAAATTGCTAAAAACAATTAAAACTGGCATGGTTTTGAGTATATATTTAATAAATACATTAACTGTTAGGTCGGATGGGGTATGTTATTTATTTTTCTCTATAAATCCGTAATAATGTTTACCCTTTTTGCTCACTTTTTTCCAACTTACATACATATATAAGTTGTGATAAATGGATTATATGATTTACCTACGTCTCATCAGACCAAAGAAGTCTTAGTTTATACATCAATATTATGCATGTTATAGTAGAAGGCTAACGGATCATGCGACTGACCCGTTTTCCTGGCAACTAGAAAATTTTCAAATTATGTTTACATATGACATAGTTAACAGTCGTCGTTGTCAGTAATCGTTTATCATATCTTTACGATTTAATAAATTATGTCATCTCTTTCTGACATTGAGACCCGTACATTGTAGGTCCGTTGCACTCCCGTCTGCTGATACTTGCAAACGTTTACCTCTACCGAATAAAAAAAATACAAAAAAGTATAATACGCAAAACAGATATTATGTGGAAGTACTTTAAGGTTAATATAGAAATCCCGTTCGTGTTTTCTTTGCGTAACCTATAAGAATAAAACGATAAGTATATTTTAGGCAAATTCCGGTTATTTATTTTGAGCTCTTGCAAACAGCGAGTTTTACTCAAATATTACAAGGACTCATCACATAAATTGTCACAATATTTAAGGAAACTCGCTGAAACGATATAAATGGGTTAAAGTGGAATATTAAAATGTTCTTTAGGTGCTAGTCTGTGGAAAATTTAATATATTTGCATTTTGAATACGACAAAGCACTTAAACGATTATTCTTCTCTCAAGCCAGGGCTATAAAATTCAACAATTTTGGAATTTCAAATGAAATGGTTGTTTATTTTGTGTGTTCTGTAATGTGTACTGTTCTCGCCTTTGCTTTTACTATTGGAATAGTAACTAATATGTCTGCAATGTATATTTTGGAACATTCTCTTTGCCCATTTAATATTAAGCAACTCACCTGAAATCATTTTGAATATTCTTTTAGAACAATTATTATTACCTGCTAGATAAACAAACTTACGTATATAATTTATAATAAGTGATCAGAGCGAATATTTTCTTAACGTAAATACAATAACGTGTACGGCCCCTAGCACCACCGCGAAACATATTAACCGTAAACGAATTCTGCTGTAAAGTTAAACGCAACGAAATCCTGGCCCGAGGGTGAACGTGTAAGTAGAAGGCGCAAAATCTCCCGGGAAGGAGATAGAATCACAAGAAAATTTAAACGTTATATTACAAATATATTCGGAACAGCAGTTTCGCTTACCGTGTAACGGGTAAATCATGCCGAAACTATTGCGTTCTCACTGCTATGGTTTCTTGTAGAAGACAAGACGTACTCTCACTTTACTAACTAAAAGTCATTAACTCGACATCAATGCAGGAAGTGATTTATGGAGGTTTTGGTGCTTAATTCTTTAGGTTTCGTGTTAAGTAGCTAAAATATAGCATTAAACTGTTGTTGTAAATAAATCGATGCATCTTATGTACCATTATGTGTAAAAACATAAAAGTTTTAGGTAAAGGGATCTGTAAATTTCTAATCGTTATCTCTAAAATCGCCAAAAACCGAGTTGATGAGATGCGAAAAATGAGTTGCTTGTTTGTTGATTATTCTTTTTTTTAATAGGTCTGCTAGCAACCGAAATTACTAGTATTCCCGTTAACGCCTCCCGCTAAAGTAAATTGCTTGTGTTAGGAGTGGGTTCACGTCGGTAGTGTACTGGTCAGGATTTGAACCCACGACCTGTTGATCGCAAGTCCATTGCCTTAACCACTAGGCTACCGCCGCTTCATTATTGACTGTCTGTTTTACATGTTTTTGTTTTCAATAAAATAATTAGTATTATCAGTAACTTTATTTTAATCAGAAACTAACTATCTTTGTGTCTTTAGGACCACAAGGAACATTCCTTAGTTTTAAGCACAATCAGACAATCTGAAATATACAACTTCACAGCTTTCATACTTATTTATTCAAATAATCAATGCAGTAGTATCTTAAACTATCTTAGTAAATGATATACAAGTTCTAACCATTACTCTTATATCATACAATGAAAAACAATTAACGCCAAAAACAAGATCGTGTACAAACAAAACATCAGATTTCAATTTACGTTCGAAATATATTACGTTGCGGCATTCTCTGGCGCCTCGCTATCCAGTATTTTGATAACGCTTCTACAGCCTGACAATAAAAGCCTACAATTCAGTGTGGAGTCTTAGCTGTCTCGTAGACTTCACAACAGCCTTTCAGGATACTGAAAGATGCGAAATAATACAACTTTAGAGTATTATTAGGTTCACTCTATTGTGGTCAGTGTTTTAGATATTTTTCGTCATTATTCACATTCGTTGTGTATTCCATAGAAGCCCTACTTCGCACCTTCTCTTTAGCAGCTAGGAAGTGATGGCAGATATTTAAGTAACTACTTTTATGAATATTATTTTTTTATTCATTGAGCGGTTCTTAGAAAGAACTTTTTAAAATTAGTCAGTTATAAAAGAAGGCTAACAATAACCAGTTTCAGCTTTTCATTTAGTTTTAAAGTTGTGAGTGACGGATTTAAGATAATCAATCAACTCGCTTTACATAGATTTGAGAGTTAAATAAAGTTTGAATAAAAATACAAGCCAATTTTATTAACCGACTTTAAAAAAAGGAGGAGGTTCTCAATTCGACTGTATTTTTTTTTTTATGTTTGTTACCTCATAACTTTCGACTGGGTGAACCGATTTTGATGATTCTTTTTTTATTGGAAAGCTGGTGCTTCCCTTGTGGTCTCATTTCAATTTGGTCTAGTTCTGACCATGGAATCCATGAGAAAACCATTGAAGTCGTTTTTTTTTGTTAAAATTTTACTTGTGTTTATAGATTATAATACTTATGCTATATAAAAATATGGTCAAAGATCACTTGGATTCATAGGTTCATAGTACTCTGTGCTTTCAATAACTGTACATGACCAATGATTTCATGGTTATCAATATAAATTGTTCATACTTATATTGTAAATATAAAGAAATTTAATTTTTGGAAAGAATTATGTTAATTATTATATTTAGTTCATTAATGGTTTATAATTCCATCTTGTGATAGTCTGAATATATTCCAAAATAACCCTAACAAGTTTAAGTAGCATGAGCAAGACCCTCCGGAATACCGGAATAATACTCGGATGTTCGGAGTATTGTAAAGGTAATTCTATTTTTAATTTATGAGAAGAAGCCACGGCAAGATTAAAGTTACGATTACACATCGATACGCGTACACCAAGGTTAGCACTGAGCCCTTTCCCGATTTACCTGGTTCTGGACGCACAGAGGAGGCATAGAGGACGGCAAAATGGATCTTTATTTTATATTGAAGTGACTGGTGTTACTTGTGACAAAAGAATGCCAGTCAAACTCAAGGGTCTTGTCTACAAAACCATCATTAGACTTATGTACGGCAGCGAAATCTGGCCTATAACACGAAAAAACATACCGAACCATCCAACTTGCCGTGATGAAAATACTGAGGTGGATGTGCGATATCACCAGGCTTCATAAGATACGGAAGCTTAGGTGTGCGCGATGTTGCCGGCAAACTGCGGGAAAGCAGACTGCGATCGTACGAGGGGCGGCTGAAAAGTTCGCGGCCTAGGGGCCTAGGGTACTTAACGAAGAGTAATTAGCTTGTTACTCATCTCATTAGTTGCGACACTCAGTAGTATTATAAAAGCAATAATTAATGAAGTTTGCACTAGTAGTTCAATTATTTATCGAACAAAGAACATCACCATGTCAGCCGAGTCTGAAAATTATCGGAATTTTTAACACCGCACACCGCGCCGTGATAAAATTCCTCATAAAGACGGGAAATATACAGAAAGATATTTTTGAAGAGATGTCATCGGTTCTTCAGGATTCTGCACCTTCATATACGATGGTGTTATGGTGGTGGATACATAATTGGACAGAAACGACTTTGGAAACTGACGCTCGGAGTGCTCTTTCTGCAAAACAACGCGCATGTTCACACCGCACATGGTTCTCGGAGATTGACCACCCTCAATATAGCCCAGACCTAGCACCTAGTGATTTTTTCCTGTTTTCCAATTTGAAAAAGGACTTACGGAGCCGGAGATTTGCAGAAGACAACGAAATGAAAGCTGCGGTTGATCGTCATTTTGAAGAGAAAGATACAAAATATTTCTTGGGTGGGTTAAAGGCATTGTATGCGAAATGTGGGAAATGTATTTCACTTGAAGGAGATTATATTGACAAATAAAAAATAGAAACCATATATTTTCTGTCATTAAGTACCTTAGGCCGCGGACTTATCAGTCGTCCCTCGTACATTCACATAAAGAGGAGGCTATATTGTAGATCCCCGGTAGAAGATCCAGAGACAGGTCGAAGATAAGGTGGGAGGATGTAGTGCTGAGGGACATGTCAGACGTCAGAGTGTTTCTTTTAAAATTGCTATATACGTAATAAGAAATTCATTTGACTAAGGTAAAGATCTATGCAGGACACCAGCGCTGCAAAAAGAGAAGGAAAACTTAACACAAACCCTATACCAACCCGTCTGGCCAGCTTGGTATAGTAGGCCAAAACCTGCTTTCTAAGGAGAGACCTATGTCCAGTGGAAACAGTGGACTATTAAAAGCTGATGATAATGATGATATATTTAATTTCTTATACAAGTGTATAAGAAATTACGTATATCATCGTCATCATAAATATAAAATGTAAAGATAAAAACCCGAGACAGTTGAACCGTCGGCATAGCAACAAGTTTGTACGGAACTCTCGAATCGCATGTACTTCTCGGATTTTCAATGCTGTTACACAAGACAGTTGTCCAAAAGCAAGAAATGTCAAATAGGGATCATAATTGCCGCCTACTTGTTAATAATTAAGTATTTAAAAAATCGTGTCTCTAATTATATAATATATATTTACGACGAAATTGTAATATGAATAATTTATAACTTTTCATCGTCGACCTAGATCCAGTTGAGGCACTTTCAATACTGTTTCTTATCGCATATATTCAGTTACAAAGCTCGTGACTCGTTTTACGATCCAATATTACTTCTGTAGATATCCAATGCTTAAATCTTCCTTTACTGTGAAACTTACTTATACTTTACTTAACTTAATGTAAACAAATGCGGTACAGTCAGTGAATAATGTTCATCATACTTGTGTTTTATAATGTCTAATTTGACTAAAGCGTGGCAAGTGGGAAGCCAACGAATAACTCGCCACACGAATAACACTCACACTCATCGTCCGCCTAAGTACTGCTACCGCACCGGGAGATCTAATGTGGTTACGCCGTTTGAGTGGGCGAATGTTTAGGGTAGATATAGAAATTTTTACTTCGTGAGGTGAAGTGAATCACAATCTTAGGTTTGTGGTTATGTAAAAAAACCTTTTTATATAGAACCATACATACTAGATTATTGTATGTGTATGAATGGAAGATGTTATGCGCGATATCTAATGAGAAAAGAATAACCCAAAGCGGCCGTCACCGTTATACTGATTGTAAACAGAGTTTACTCTGTTTACAATCGGAATTGAAATTCAGTTGTACATTTTGAAAAGGAATTGTCGAATTTAGTTGTACATTTATTCTTAGTTAGTATAACAGACTTCAATTTCAAGAAGAGAGTTATATTGTGAGATCTGACTGGTTCATTCAGCACCTTGCTCGTTAAAGGAATGAGGAAGGCTAGTTGCCAAACTGCCATACCATATTTCCATCCATTCGCTAGAAAATATGATACTGACTGTTATAGAAAACAAAATAAGCAATAACTTTGTTTTATGTTCCTGTTATGTACCTATAAAATTGTTGTTCTTTGTTAATACTGCTATACTCATATGTTTGGTTTATTATTATAATTTATTACGTATTAACAATCAGAAAACATCAATTTACCTTTAGATAGAGGATTAGATAGATATAGGTAGATTTAAAATTATATTAGCAATTACGATAAGTGTTTAATATCGTTATTGCGATTTGACCACATTGAAGCGTAAAGTGGAAACGGCTAAGCCTAAGCCGATCAGTAAGAATTTTATATGTACTGTATATAGTATATGTACTGAGACGTGACCGGCTTAAATACGTAACACCTTAGTATATAGTACGTATGTGTGCATACGGAATGTTTCTTTTTTTTTACATGGATGCTTAGAGCATTTTACTCATACTTAGAATTTTCTTCATAGAAAACAGTAACGAAAACAGTTTTTGATATTTTTATATCATAGTTCATTTCATGAGGACGTTAAACAATTAAAATTAACTATAATAAATACATATCCACCAGTCACCCTGGTAAATATATTACGTAAAAATTATGAGGGATCGTTGCTTTGAAGAAAACTTTCAACCCACATGTCCACATGTCGGCAACGCACTTGAGACTAAGTTACAGACGTCCATAGTCACTTATCATCAGGTGACCCGCTTGCTCGTTTGCCACTTAAAAATGAATAAAAAAAACTTGTTTTTTTCTCATTAATAGTTTTACTAGAGGACGTAGACATGTTTTATTAATGGGATGTGTTTGGAACCAACAACTTAGAGAACGCCTGCTTAGTGATAAGTTGATAGTAATTGGAAAGAAAAAAAAATGTTTTTTTTTTCAGCTAAGGCTATATATAATCTTGTATTTTAAATATTTAAGTTTAATTAGAAACAAAAAATATCCATAATGGAACGACAAAATCATAATTGTGGCTAAGCTTCGTAAATGAAAAAAAAAGTAGTTTTAGTAAAACCTGCCAGGCTTTCATATAAAATAAACTCGTTTTCGCAAAACTTCCTCAGAGATAGTGTTGTTTGTGGGAATTAAAATTCTGACCAGAATTTGCCGAAGAGAAATAGGCTTTGCTACCTTAATAAAATACACAGATACTAACACGAATATTGCATAGGCAGTAATCGCGTATTGTCAGTCTAGCAATGTGCCGACTTAAAATAGTCAAACCAATATAGCGAAAAACAATACCTACGAGAATGCATGTATTCGTATGCCAAAATATTAGTTAATACTACCTATATTTTTCCGTGTGGTGACGGATTAAGAATACAGTGTCACATCCCCTATTCATCCCGTGGGTGTCGTAAGAGCCGACTAAGGGAGAAAACTACGGAGAACAACAGCATTGCAGAGAGAAGGAAAACTTGACACAAACCCTATACCAACCCGTCTGGCCAGCGTGGTATAGTAGGCCAAAACCTCCTTTCTAAGGAGAGGCCTATGCCCAGCAGTGGACTATTGAAGGCTGTTGATGTGTGATGTCATGATGATGATGATATTTATCACGGAAAATCTTACTGTCTCAACGGACATTGATTCTACATATATTGTTATGTTTCTATGTAATTAGATAGATAGCCGCATACTAATTGATAAACATACGTAAAAACTGCACAACGCTACACAGTACTCGAGAGCTCAAGGTTTACTTCAAGGTTTGATTTGCTTGTTTAAAAAAAACAACCTGTATACATATGTTAATATTAAAATTACTTGTCCCTAGGGCTACACCAAGTCAATAGACATTTGGTCGGTTGGATGCATCCTAGCGGAGATGCTGTCGAATCGGCCAATATTCCCGGGGAAACACTACTTAGACCAGCTGAATCACATCCTTGGAGTCCTCGGATCGCCCAGTCAGGAAGATTTGGATTGCATCATCAACGAAAAGGTATTTTTTTTAGATATAATTGTACTAACTGTGTTAATAGTCGAACTGTCAGGGGAGCAACAAGGCTAAGAGTAGAAGTTATAACAAAATTTAAACTTTCTTCTATAGCAGATTTCTTTTGTTTTTGACTGAGGAAGTAGCTAAACTATGTCATGCCACCGCCCGTGGTCAGACTTGTTGTAAAGCTACACACAAATACTTCACTGCTATTGACGGACGTTTACAGAAGAAGTGGGATAGGATTTTTAACATAGGTCATATTTTTAAATGGTTTTCTTTGAGAAAGTAAATTCCTTTATAGATGAAATTTTGCAATAATTGCAAAATCGATCGCTGTCCGATGCTAGAAGAACCTTCACCTACAGTACCGCGACACGTCATTACTAAATAGTGCCTTAACCATTAATAATAATACACATTATAAGTGTTATAAAATCATGCCACGGCTTCCATGCCCTTATATACGGAATACGGAACCCTAAAAAGAAAAACATAAAACAAAGATATTGTAGAGAGAGAAGAGAAGATATTATTCGTAAGTATTTATATTTTAATTGTTAGATAACAAACAGATTCACAGGCACGTATATGCTTAGACTTTTTTATGTGTGTACTTGCATATAAAATCTAATAAGAGAAATGGTCTTGGCATACACTTAATATTATAATAAATGTATTTGCCGAGAACATGGTTTTTGTTTCATAAGTCCGTATAAAACACGAGCAAGGACGTAATCACACTCGCACTGTCGCTTTAGAATACTAGATAATCAGTGAGATATGTATCAAAAATGTCATGTATTTGTAAAAAGGGACGTCCCATCAGTGTTGAAACTATTTACTTATTAACATAGTCATTCCCTGACGGTCAAGATACCTGCACTCTCTGAAAACAGCATTAACATTTCTTGGTTAATCGCTTTAAAAAAAGGTTTTGTGATAAAATCTACGATGTTTAATATCACGAACCGTTTACTTTATCGCTATATTGGCACATTGCGGCAATAATTTACTCGTAAGTTTGTTATCAATTAGTCCTACACCACTCCTAAAGTAATCAAACTATCAACTCGGCCCTTTCAAGTACAATAACAATAGAACTACAAACTATGGCACTTAAGAAATATAGTTAAGTATCGATAATAGGTAACATAAGATGTTTAAATCGCTAAATATTTCACTTCAAAGATCCCACTAAACACACGGCTTTTGAGTCCTTTTGGCTACCACCGCCCGTGGACACCCTCACCTCAGGTGAGTCTAGTGCCCCAAGCCAAAATAAAGGTGTGGTGTCGTACAGTAAACGCCGTATATGCCGTAAACCGATAACAATTTTAGTAACTTCGCGATTTTAACTTATTTCAAATTGACAACTCTGAAGTTGACTGAAAAGCTCATATTTTTAATGAGAGGGCTGACATAAATTAAATTATGAGTATTTAATTCCAAATATGTTGAAAAGTGAACAGTTTTTTCTGAAAAAGAACACAAGGAAAGAAAACAAAATCACTGAAATTTACAAGGAGGTTCAGTTTATGCCTACACTAAATGCAACATTTTCAAAAAAAAAGGAAGCATTTTTTTTTAAATCTATTTTTTAAATCAAAGCATACAGATAACGCATGAAGTTGAAGCCATCCCATCTTATTATAGAATGCATCATATCTACATGCACCTTGTGTATTTACATATTTTATATGATTATGATATAACATGCCATTTAATGTGATGTATTTTATTTTATTGTGTTGTATTATCACTAAGGAAAATAAAGAACAATTGCTTACGTCAGTAACTATGGTCAGTCCCGCTTATCGTTTGTTGGACCTACACAGAAACGCCTTGACTGAGACTCAGTGTCGAAAACTGTAATATCAAGTCACCCTAAATTTAAACTAACGTGCATACAAATATCGTCAGTATCACTGTGAACACAATTGATTCTTATTAAAAGTTTAGGGTTAATGTGTGTTGTATCCTCTCATATTCGCCTTATAATTTTATAACAGTTTTTCTTATCAGTTCAGTCTGCCTTCCAGAATCCTTCCTTAAAATACATTTCGTAGTTGGTACAATAATGTACTATATATTATATAAGTGTGTGTGTCATCTTGTGTAAAATAGTAAAAACATAACACAATAATAAACACACCTAACACATAGCCGCTTGATCCCAAAATAGGCTGAGCCTGTATTATGGAAACCAGGCTGTGTGGACCAGAAATGCATAAACATACTTAAATATTTATAAATACATACATTTACAGATAAACAACACCCATGCACAAAATATGTGTGTGGGAATTGCACCTACGATCGTTGGCTTAACAGGGCCGCTAAATCGTGAACACGTCATATTCCTTGATGACTGTATTTTTTAAACTATAATACACTCAGGAAAACTAAAAATAAAAAAGGGAAATTCTGCTTTGGTATACGTATACGCTTTTCATAAACAAATATAAAAAATAGTTATGACATTTCTTGGCACTATCGAAAAAAATCGCTTCATTTTTCCTTGTATTCTGAACGTGTGTCACAGTATAGTATCCAATAACATTGAGTGGCATTCGTTATTACACAAAGACAACATTTTTTTCACGAAGAACTGCAAAATAAAAATAAAAACATAAAATTAATTGTGACAATTGTGTGATTTATTGAAGGATTTGACTCTCTCACCGTAAACCAAATGGTTGATGAATAACTTGAATTTACTTAAAATTCAATTGTTAGTCAGAAGCGTTTTTGTTTTTGGAATAAACATAGTCTGATGCAACGATTTCAATTTTGTTATATATTCGAGTAGTTAGAGTTCTATTATAGAATTAGCGTTTAATTGATGTAATTGTCAAATAAACTGATTGACTGATTGATTTTGAGTATGTTTAGTATACAGGCTATAGAAATTTACCGAATAATGTATGCCTATAGATATATTCTTTTTAAACACGTATACAACATTATTAACATGTATGAGAAATTGTTTAAAAGAACATACATGTCCTTAGTTTACATTTTTTAAAGGTAAAACAAAAAAATGCAACATAAAAATATTACAATGAAGATCACGTACAACTCTAAACATATAAAAAAGAAGCAGGAATTAAATAGTAATTGTTTCTGTGGTGAGGCGGTAGTGAATTCGATTGCCACGGGGGTGACGGTTTCGATGTCCGCCCAGTGCAAATGTTTGTATCTAGATAGTAATATGTCTTATGATACGGACTCATACTTAAGCTTTTTTTTTATTTTAATTAAATCATATTTTAGAATTTCAATGAAGTCATGTAACAATTCTGTAACATTTAGAAAATTTTCGAAATTCTACGAACAAGTTATGAGGGATTATTCATGTGATCAACATCTTTTGTTATAATATGTCATTTAACATGTCGATAGTAGACTCAAATTGATGATGAGACCGGTATTAGTTGATTTAAATACCACTTCACCATCACCTTCAAAAGCGTTTACAATATATAATAACAATTTCTGATAGTTACAAACCTGTACATTCCACTGCGGGCTCTTAACCCACTCCTGGTGAAAGTGCGATTGTGATGTGTGCTTTATTATACTAATAGTCTTACATTTTACATATTAGTAAATATCTAAACAACCTGTCAATATGTCAAGAAATTACTATTATATAAGTAGTATTATATAGTTAAATACCTATTAAAGTTTCTCTATTGACTAAATTATAAGAAAAGCTTTACTTTCATCACAAAAACCTTTCAAAAAGGTTTATGGACTAAATTGTATTTGTTCAGACTTGATAGCCTGTGGCGAACGTTTCGCAGATTGTGTCGATTGATTCTTGTTTACACAGAGAAAACGAAAACTATATTTATCTTCTTGTTTGTGCGTTATTGCGTTGTTTTCAACTGAGTTTTAATTGACTACAAACAATGTCGTAAAATGCCCAGCTAAGCGGCTCTATAGTAAAAGTCGTCGCATCAAAAACAGAGCGGTTTTGTCAAAGACGGTCTCGACGAGACGCCTCGCATGTAAAATGAAAAAAATCTTTCTTCTTCATATACTCTAATAACTTCATAAGTCTGCTTAGTTTTTATTAAACATTATTTCTTAGATTTTCTTAAACAGAACTTCGACTTTGATGCGGGAGGTCACAGTAAATCAGTCTATGTAACATACTCATAGCTCTTGAAATACCGGCTTTTTATATCCGGCTGTCGCTACCAGTGGTCTTTTAAGTCTTTTAAGACTTGCTCTTAAAAACATCATCCTTATCTATGTAATTTGGTGGTTCAGGCTCGTGGCTATCTGGAATCGCTGCCTTTCAAGCCTCGTGTGCCGTGGACGGAACTGTTCCCTGGCGCGGACGCTAGGGCACTGGACTTGCTGCACCGCATGCTCACGTTCAACCCACACAAGCGGATCACTGTTGAAGAAGCACTTGCACATCCTTACCTTGAGCAGTACTACGACCCCAATGATGAGGTACGTTTATTTTTACAAATTTTTGCTCCTGGGAGCATCGTTAACTTGGGTTTATCTTCAACCTAATTCTAAGTAATAAATATGTTATTAAACACATAAAAAACAGGATTTGTATATTTTTAAATAACATGACTTTTAAAGAGGCTTGAAGAAACGCTTTTACTACCAGCTTTATTAACAAAATCGTTTGCCTATCTCTGCAATATAAAATAAAAAGTTTTATTGCAAGTCAGCAGCTCAAATTAAGCGCTTTACTTAAGATGTATGCGTGGGCTGAAACTTCTTTAATTTTGTAAGAGTTCTCACTAATTATTACGACTACACACTATGTTAGAAACGACTATATAAGCAAGGTTTCAAAACCTGGTTCCAAAATAGGCTAATCAAAATGTTTAATTAACAGAGCTGTCAAAATAATAGCAATGTCAAAATTGCAGGACTTTCTGTAATATTTGACAGCACGTTCGAACCGGTTAAATCAGCGCTAAAAGAGCGTTAAAAGAGATACAGCGATAGCTATTCAGTCAGGGGGTCACAGATGTGGAAGTTAGCCTAACTGACTCGTTTAACTTTAGATGTATGCTCGATTGAGATCCTGCTATTCCTTTTTTTTGTTAACGGCAAATCCTTTCGGATTTCCTGTTCCTTCGGGACAGGAGCCAGGAGTATGTGGTGATTCCACTATAAACCACCCCGACCGCCGGTCTCAAGCGCCCCACTCTGACTACCTGGACTATGGGATTTAGGTCCTTCCCGAATCTATACTACGCCAAAGGCCAGGCCCTATCCCAGACGAAATGATTTCCCCCCTTCAATGGCGGCGTATCGGTCCGATTTCGTCAAGAAGACTCAAAAGAGCCGATGTGCTGCCTTACTAAGGGGAGATGGAGCAGTGGCTCTACCTCTCCAAACTCCAACCTCTTGCAACGCGGATGCTTTTTAAGATATTTTATAATATAAGTAAAAACTTTACTTTTTCTAATATCCATCAATAAAATATTGTTACAACAATTGAGATCTAGCACCCCACGCATTTCTACGATAAAATGATTTTGCATTTTGAACGCATAGAAAATTATTTGGAAGTTTACTTAGTAAGTCCATGGATCTTATTAAGACAAAGTTTTATTTAGTTAAATTTAGACATTTATATAGAGTAAATATAAATGCTCAGGCAAGAAAATAATTTCTAGAAAATAATGTGATGTCTATATTTATAGCAATTGGTTTACAAAGGCCAAGGACGTAAAAATATTGAGTGGGCACTTTGATTTCTCATACCAATTCTAAATAATAGTGCCTTCAAAATCAACTTATCAGCCTAAATAGGCACTTATTCAGTCTCACTACACGATTTATGTCTAATTATATTAGATATTTAATGCTTTTGATTAGGACTTTATTTCGATAATATTATAGAAAAACATTTTTTTATTTAACGATTGAGCTGTTCGCTCTAAACGAGGACAGTCATTTGCTCTAAACAACTTGGACTTTCTCCGCTGGCAATATAAAAGGGATCGGATCAGTGGTACATGGCAACGCCAAACCTAAAAGCAAATATTAATGTCGGAACTTAGTTTTATTGAGAGGTATTCATGTTTAGTATCAGTACAATGCTTCAATGCTCACATTTAATGTAACAACATATGATTAGGCAATGTCACGTTCATAATATCTAATTTAGGCATGCAAAGGATTTACCTACATTTGCTCACACACATCATGATGATGTAAATACGTGACTTTATGTGAGTAGTTAAAACGAAGAATGTAAAATGTAGGTATATCAATATTGAAATGTTGATCAACTATGTATACTAAAATGTTAACCTTGTAGCTAAAGCTGTGAAAGTGTCTAACGTGTTCTGTTACTGTCACTGTAAACGCTCGATTTTTAAGCACACCAGCATAGATTTACACGCTTGCCAAATTAATAAAATTGTCAGTTTGTTTTAGTTTTTCGTAGTGCGACACTCCGAGCCTTTATTGAGAATCTCGAAACTTATTGCATATTTTGATTGGTAACCAATACAAATGTAATGTTTTATCAATGTAACATAATAGACATTTTTTAAGTAAAATGTTTAGTTTGTTATGAATGCAATACCATGCTATGAATATATATAGATACCTGTTTCTCACAGCCGAATATGACGCTAATTATAAAGAAACTTTAAGCTGAAATTGTTAATCAATACTAATTTTAAGATTTTATGTAATTCTACGTAAAATTAAGTTGTTTCAATTTTATAGGAAATTATCAATGCTTTCTCATAAAAATAAATATGTCAATAAACTTAGATATTGAATTGAACAATTTCAGAAATATTCCGTTCGTTAGTATTTAAAGTCAACCTACCAAAAGTACGATCCGAGTAAATCTATTTTTCTGTGTTTTTGGAGCAATATTGCATGTACAGAATAAATATATCGATTCCCATTACCGATATATCGAGCTGCAACAATCGTATATCTGTTTATTTATTTGTGTGATGAAGGCGATCATTTGTTAGTTTAGTGTATAGGTGTAACTTGCTGTACTAAATGTATATGTATTACTTAGCTTCAAAAGCTTCAGAGGGTTTGCTCTCGTAAAAATATAAAGAAACTTTTATTAGGGTGTAATAATATTGTCATAAAGTTTAACCCAATTCATTCATCCATTTTACATTTTCATGTCATAAAACCTAGCCTCTTTTCTTGTTTTGATAAAATTAAAGCGATTCGGGTATGTTATCAAATGTCAGTATTTTGTTATGAATAATATTTCAATACACTTTGAAACTTTTTTTTTTTCAAATCATTAACAGGCTTTTTAACAGGCTAACAGTATAAATAAACCAAAAAAAAAAGTATAAATTACTTAAAATATTTACACACAAGCACCAAAAAATTCCTCCGCATCCTCGCCTACTGTAGTGTTCCCAGAAGACTGGCAGCATTGCCACGTTCAATGGCAATGCTAATTCTCTGTGCTAAAAAAAAAGCCGGTCTTCTGATTACGAGAAGTGTCGATCAGTTGTTTAGTCATGACCCTAGATTCGACCCCAAACGGTTCAAAAAGGTAATAACCTACTAAATTTTGGTATTTACGCCGTTTGCGGCTTATGAATAACTATAATTATGTTTTTTTTAATAATTGTAATTTAAAATCATACAACCGACACCGCACTGTGTCAAGCTATCTTGGTCGATAATAATAATATACGCATTTCTTTATTGTTACTAGAAATAATCTATATTTGCAAATAAACTCTCATTCAGGTTACTTTTATAGAAACACTCGTCTCTTGCCCCAAAGAACATGTTGATTTCCATAACAAAAGCAAATGCCTGAATTACATTCCACTTTGCACACAAATTGCTCAAAAATATGGTAATGTAATAAATAAATTAATAATAATGTAAGACAACATTCAAAGACAAATTTTAATTACAGCCCGTGGCGGAGGAGCCGTTCCGATTTGCGATGGAACTCGACGACCTTCCCAAGGAGACCCTCAAAAAATACATCTTCGAGGAAACATTACTGTTCAAGAAACTGAACGAAGACGCGTAGATAACATCAGCCCATAATAATAATACCTATAGAGCCGCCCGCGTCTACTCAGGCGACAGAGGGGTAAGACGTTTGATGCATGCCAGCTCTGCGTTCACGACCATCATATACCTAGTTGACAGATGTGCCCGCTAATATCATGACGTCATTGTCGCACCGCGTTATATAAAATTTATCATCGATGTTTTTATCTTATCTTTAACAACGCTTCGTGATAAGCAAGTAATACGAATAATTCTTAAGAATATTTGTTCGCTCTTATAACTTTAAGGATAATATACAAGTTTGTGTAGAACAGGAAAAGTGTGGATTCAGAGCTCGCACGTGTATGCGACGCGAGTAAGGTCTAATTATATTGATATCTATTATGTTGGTTTAAGTTTTCAAATATTCATTACTCGTAGTCGGTTAACCAAAGGTAATTGTTAACCAAAATGTCGTTTTCATTAGGTATTCGACGTTGTGGACTCTAGAGTTTTGAGTACGCCGTATTTTTTTTTGTATTATGCTCTGTAATCTGTAATGTTAATTATGTGTGCTAGACTCAAAGCCGTTAAAAGTTTGTGAATCATGTGAGATGCATTAAGCCCCATATTGCGTAGTGAAATGGTTATGCTCACGTTAATATAATACTTTATTACCAGTTGTATTATCAAGCTAAACCATGGATTATGTTCGCCACGTATTTTCAGGCGTATTTCGCTTGTAGTTAAATATGTGTGGCTTACGATTAACTATTTCGGTGAGTGCTTTCCTCGTTTTGGAGCCTAACACATATACAAGCTTAGTAAGGTATCTGAATGTTTCTAACTAGCGTTTTAAACTTACAGTTTTCAAAGCGCAGTTCTATTATTATATGCATAGTCGCTTTAAATGGCTATTGATTAAGTATTGTTTTATTGTGGCAGATGAAGCATAATAATATTTTATTTTAATAATATCTGCCAAATAAGTGATAAATCGCTAATTTATATGATTCAAAGTTAGATACTCGGAATCATGACGTCTGAATATAGACTAACTTATGTTCAGAAATATCGTATCGGTATGGTTGGATCAGAATGTAGAAGTACTAGGTATATACATTAATGCGTAGTGAACTTATCGTATCATAGATAGGACTTTTCTGAAATTTATAAACGTTAAACATACCTAGTCGTACAATATCTAAATTGGGATATTCGATCATTGGAGTTGAAGGATATCGATATTATTCTATTGAGCAGTATTACGCGTCGATACGACGAGGGTCGCGTTACATGCCCGCATCGTGACTAAACATCTAGGGGGAATACGTTTATGTGCGGATTCGGTACAGCATTCAATGTTTTTATTAATACTTAAGCGTGTCAGCAGACACATATCTTCCCCCATTCGGGGCTTTGGAAGTAAGGCAAGTGAGAGTATGTAGGTATTATGTAAAAGCAATGGCGTTTGTGAGCTGCGAGTCGAACCTGACAATACTGCATGATGTTGGTGTGTCTTATGACACAGAACACAAAGCAGCTACACTTTACGCCTAAACACCAAACAGAAAGGAGAGCATCAAGATTAAATTGGCGGGTGTAAATATTTTTACATTTCGAATTAATGTATTTTAAAGTGTCACCGAGTAAAAATTTAAAGCACCACATTATTATTCATTAATTCTGATGTGATCTAATTACGAATAAATGTATTTTCTTTACGGCGGGGATGTGTTCGTTGGAAAACTTGCGTGTTTCAATATTTTTTGTAATAATAAATATCGTCTTCCTTGTATTGCATGTTAGCGCACAAGACAATTTTAGAATAGTTAATTCTTCATATCAGATGTATTAAAGAGGTGTTTATAGAATATTTAAAAATTTCGTTGTTAAATGTGCGTTGTTGGTAGGTTCGTCGTATCAAGTTTTTCAACGAACTGTTTTGGTACAGATCATAAACAAAGAGTTGTTGACGTATTAGCAAAATTGGCAAGACGGTTAGGCATTATGAAAATAGTTCAAGCTTGCCGCAATGACGTAGAATTTATCTAAAACTACCCTTATTATGCGCAGCTCCTCTTTGTTAATAATCTGTTAGTGATGTGACGGTCAGGACCAGACGGGACAGTACCCTCTAACATTACAACTTACAGAGAGTTTTAAATGTACTTTTGCAGTATAAGATGAGGGTGACATTTAAAGAAACCAGTACAATTATAATATTTGGAAACTGGACAATTTCTTTTGTGAGGTAATTTCTATCGATCGTAAGGTTTGGACTATAGTCACGGTACTATTATAATACAGTAGTGTAACTCGGCCGCATGATAGAAATAAATGCCTACAGCCGCGCGGTACGTAAACATGCGTTAGGGCTGCCCGTCTCCAGCATTTTAATTATATTTGCCTACTTTCTGTTTCTATTTAGATTTGTGATTGTAAATATCCTTTTTATATAAATAAATGAAATACTTTGTATATTGAATAGGAAGTGTTTAATAAAAATGCGTGTTGTTTTTTGATTGGTAGATTTAATTATTTTATTTTCTTTCTGCATTGGAGGAGTTTTTAGTGGTATATGTTGTTATAGTAGCAGCAGAAACACTTTGTGAAAATTTCGAAAACTATCTAATGACACACAGACGGTAAAAATTTTTTTCTAGTATTATTCATACACACAGATAATAAAAAAATATTATTAAAAATAAAATACCACGTCTTTACTTTGAATTATGCAAAGTAACAAAACACACATGCACCGAAGTTTTAACACAAGCGTAAGTAGGTAGGTACCTACCGTATCATGATTCATTCAGAACCTCATATAACTACCTATTTCACTCGTCTCAATAACTTTCCGTTACTCTATTCGCTTTATTAATTAATCCAAACACCTTTTTTTTCGTGAGATAAAAGGAAATACTTATCCATAAAAAAGACACACATTATGTACCTACCTACTAGTAAGTAAAATTATTTTATAGTCTTACCTTTCAGAGTTTCCAGGTAATTTAAAAAAACCTTATGTCTGGATGCGTTATTGAGGAATTCATACAACCAAAAACAACACAATATTTCCTACTCGTCATATTAACTGATTTTTAGAGAAAAAAAAATCGCGCGGTTATTGTTAAAAAAAAACAACACACCGTCCAGCCGTGACTGTCTGCGCCCCGAGCGCACCCCGAGATCGAGGCGCGTAGGTATAGCTCGCGTTTCGTCCGTTTGTATGAAGTTGGAGTACTGTATTATAATTGTACCGTGCTATAGTCGCTACACAATGAACACATTGCCAGTATTATTCTTTATCTCAGATTTTTATCTTAATAAATCACACAAGCTCGATTCCAGTTATTTCACCAAGTCCTTATCTAAAACTAAAATAAACCGAAATTGAACTCTGGACAGCCCTTAGTATAAGGCATTCGCCTATCATCAAAGGAAGGGAATTTAATGGAAAATTCGAGTCTATTCAATTATTTTAATCGCAGTTACTAACGATAATGGAATATGTTTCGAGATACTCTAAATAACGAGAATACAGATCAGTAAGGTAATTTACTGAAAAAGTAGGTTGTAATGCTGGTCGGTACGTACTCCACGTGGCCTGCCGTGGGCACCTACCTATTGTTACTTCATTATTGTCTATAAGATGTTGTTAGAACTTTTAGCCCATATTTCCAAACTTTATCCAGTGCGGCTATATCCTAGGCTCTACCAGACTCCTCTACTTCTGTTCTAAGACTTGAGTAACGTTGATTGTTGAATGTATTTAGAGAACATTTTAGCTGATATACAATTTGTCATTCAATTTTTAACAGTACATAATGTGAAAACTTTCGAAGAGAGTATATTTTGCGTCTCAAGTTTTATCATGAGGCTTTACGTGTTGTATAAATGTAATAAAAGTTCTAAAAGTCATTGCTTCTTGCGGTTGTGGTTACATTTGCGGGCAGTCGTTTAAAATTGCACTCTAATGGAAGGAATGATACAATATAATAGTTTTAGAAAACAAATTGAGGTACCTACCGAGAGATGTCAATTGTTGTTTAATGTAGCCACAGCCTTCTTTGATAAAAATACTCCGTGCACTGAACCGTGAAGGTGATCTATCAAAGGTTTTGTTGTAAACAAAATTTAAGCTGGCAACACACAGCGAGCGCTACGGCAAACAAGATGTTATTTTTATATCCAGTCGTTTCAATTAATTTTACTGCCCCATTTAGTTTAGATTAAGTAGAATATAGTACGAAACATTAAAATTCAAGAAAAATATAATAGTAAAACTGACAAGAATGTGGTAGCTTTTCAACACGCTTACTCGCTCATCTAAATGTTCATGGCAACGTATAAATATTAATAAACTTATTAATACCTATTTATATGTTAACGACAACAGCACTCCAAAGAGAAGGAAAACTTGAAACAAACCCTATACCAACTCGTCTGGCCAGCGTGGTATAGTAGGCCAAAACCTCCTTTCTAAGGAGAGGCCTATGTCCAGCAGTGGACCATTAAAGGCTGTTGATGATGATACGTTAATGTTATTTGTATGAATAATGAACATTGTATATTTTTCGATTGGCTTGTGTGTTCTATACATATGGATGCCCATAATTTTAATAGTATTTTGCAGCATAAGCCATTGCTGCATACCCGTAACGCCCGCTGTGTGGTCATAGCTCTAAGAACGTTCATTGACGCATTAAGTTTGACGAACTGTTTGGTCTTTTTAAGAATTGCTTGCAAATGTGTAATTTCAACTGTATTTTTAGAACATATTTCATTAAAATTTGTAAAAAAGACAAGCTTAATTATTGTGGCTAAAGATTTCAATTTTTTAAATAAGTGTATATCATCTCACTGACTGCTGTTTGAAACCTGTTAAACGTCTTTATTATTTAGATTCTTATTTAAGAGGACACCTTTTTAAAACATGGCAATTTCTGTTACTTTTTTAATTTATCTTTAAAATAGACATAGCCTCAGATAAATATGTTTATCGAATAAGGCTTGATTGAATACTTCCGTAGG